GGCAGTCTGATTCGTGGGCACCCCGCTTCTCTTGTCTTCCTTTATAATTGAGAGCTTTGCTGGGTAGAGCTGTCTTGGCTGCAGACCATTGCTTTTCATGACTTGGAATATTTCTTTCCACTCCCTTCTGACTTGTAGTGTTTCTGCTGAGAACTCAGCTACTAGCCGTATCAGGGCTTCCTTATATATTACTACCTCTTACTCCCTTGCTTGCTTTAGGAATCTGTCTTTGATATTTGCCATTTTCATGATGATGTGCCTTGGAGTGGGCCTTATTGGTTTCCTCTTGAATGGGACCCTCCGTGCTTCCTGGACTTGTATGACTTTTTCTCTCCTCCAATTAGGGAATTTTTCCATCATTACTTTTTCAAACAGGTTCTCTGTCCCTTCCTCATCCTCCTCTCCTTCTGGTACCCCTATTATACGGACATCATTACATTTCAGGTTGTCCTACATTTCCCTCAATGCCTTTTCATTCTTTTTGAATCTTTTTTCATTTTCTTGCTCTTTCTGGGAGGTTTTTTCTACCTTTTCCTCCAGCTCACTGAGTTGATCCTCAGCTTCATCTAGACTGCTTTTGATTCCTTGTACTGTGTTCTTCAATTCAGAAATGGTGTTCTTCATATCGTCTTGTGTCTTATTGATAGTTTCTATGTCCTTTTTCATGATGATATAGTTTGCAGTAAGTTCCTCAGAGGTTCCTTGTAGTTTTTTGTAATTCTCTCTGAGTTCCTGACCTCATTGAGCTTCCTTAGAACTGTTGTTTGGAACTCAGTATCTGATGGTTTACTTGCCTCTATTTCATTTAGTTTTCTTTCGGGCGATTGCTCCTTTCCCTTCGAGTGGGGCATATTTCTTTGTCTTCCCATTATTTGTGAGACTCTTCTCTTTTGCTTCTGTTTCTGAAGTTGATCTGTCTTGATTTCCTGACTTTGTGGTATGAACTTCTATGGTTGGAGACCACTGTTTTTACTTTCTGGATCTGCCTCTGATGCTGTCAGATGTTGACCCTGTCTGACCTTAGGCAGTCTGTTGGAGACTTCCAGTAATCTACTGTTTGTGGCTGTCTCCTTTAGCTGTTAATCTAATCACTCTGCACTCAGCAGGCCACCTTAGACAGCTCAGGGCAGGGCGGAGTCCCTCCTGGGGGTTGGGTTATGGGGTCCTCTTATGCTGCTGCTGTAAGCGGGAGGAGTCCGCATTGGGATTCCGCTCGCTATTCTCTCCATTCTCTCCCCAAAGCCTCCTTCCTCAGTCTCTCCTCATGCGTCTCTAGCCCACTTTGCCCCCGCCTTTGCCAGAGACCAGGGTAAGTGGCTGCTAATAAAAATTTATGCGTTAGCCCTTTAAACTGTTCTTTGGGTCTCCAGCCACCTGTCTCTGGCAGAGAGCAACCCTGTCGCTTTTCGCAGCTGGCTGTTTTCTGTGTTCTTTTTGGGCTCTGGTGCTGTGGGCTAGAGATCCCTGCTTTTGGTTTAGACCTCGCTCTTCTCAGGGGGATCCAACTGGCCATTTCAGTATCATTCTGGTGCTGCTGCCTGTGGGTGCCCCGTCTGCCTTCTCAGGTCTCTACTACATTCCTTACCAGTTAGATTGCACTAAAGCCAATTCTTCTGTCTCCAAAGTTACAAGGCTCCTCTCTCACTCTTGTTCAGTTGTTTGTTCCAGGTGATTTCTCCGCAATTTAGTTGTAATTCCAGGCTGGTCCTGGGAGGAGGTCAGTGTGACTTCTAGTCACTCCTCTACCATCTTGATTCCTCATCATTCTGTATCCTTAATGTGCAGGTCTACCCTAAACCTCCAATAGTATAAAATGTTTGTAGCCTACTAAGAGTGCTTCACTCATAGAATTGTAAGAGGAATGAGAGTAGCTGCTAAAAAGCAGCATATCAGCTAGGCCTTATATGTGAACACACATACATTTGTTTACTATTTTAGCAAGTATTCAGCTCTGAAATCTACCTGGGTAAATAATAAATATGTACATGGAATACATAATAGATAATAAAGCTATTCGTCAATATCTTTCTCCCCTCAGGTCCTCTTTACTAGGGTTCATTATGATTGTTCAGTCAGAAAACAATTTTTGTGAACAATGAAGTTGGGACAAAGAAATAATTAAGAGAGCTACTATCTTTCTGTCATCTCCTAGCATTTCATTATCTGTTTCCAGCTATAGGCCTGTCCCTTTTTCACATGCATGCTTTGGATACATGTTTCATCTTCCCTAGTAGAGAGAAGGGAGGGAATGCAGAGCCCTAAATAAGTGACCTGGACCTATGCTCATTGTGGCAGATCATGTTACTGAGTAGAAGGAGCAATCCTCTTTAGAATTACCAGATAAAGACTAAATAACCATGATTTCAATTTTATTTACTTTTGGGGTATCAATTCTTAAAGGAAGAGGAAGCTTTGGCTTACCCAGAATGGTTCTTATAGGCCCATGCCACTTGTTTATTTAGTCTCAGATGTCCTTCTTTCCATGTGAGAACCTCTTGTTATAAGTACCTTAAGTTCTTTAAATAGTTCTTTTTCTTTCTGATCAAGATAGTCCACAAAACTGCCACCAGATTTATTTTTAGTAAATATCCAATCCTGTCAAAATGTGTTTCTATTTTGATTCTCAAACATCTTTCCCCTTAATTTTTTGAAAGCCTGCTTCCCTCTCTTACAGCATATGTCTGACTATATACCCTTACCTATCTTGAACTCAACAAGATTCCCATCACCAGCCAGCTCCTTTACATTGGTCAGAATTAGGGTAAAACTCTAAGTTGCCCTCTTCATTTTCTGCAATAATGAAATTGTCAGAAGGCAAATAATGAAATCATCAGAAGCATTGCTTTGTGCTTAAATAAGACTTCCATCAGGTATCTGGATAGTTAAAAATCTTACAGCAGACACTACCAAAGGTCACTTAAGTGCCAGTTTTGTGATATATGTGAGAAATCATCATCATCTTATGGTATATTCCTACTATATTATTTCTGTTTCTAATCCCTTTTATTTTCACCTAGATGCTCTTCAGTTTGCTTCTACTCTATAGGTCATATATGTCCATGCAGATGCATTTCTTTTTGACTTAAAAGAGGAAGTAGAATAATATTCTGCTTGGTCATTTCTTTTTAAAAAGATAGACTTTCTATCTCTTTTACTTATCTCCCATACTTTGATATGCAGACAGCTGAGGTTATGTGTTCTTTTTAAACTATCAGCCACTGAGAACGTTGAATGCTTTTGTCATGATTATTTTTTTAATGCCATACTCATTTTTATTAATAAATTTTACAGTTTAAAAAATTGAGTTTATTTAAGTCAAAACTGGTTAACAATTACCAGGAAGCAAGATCTCAAATGCTCCCAAATTTTACAGTTTTATCTAACATTTTCTCTCCCTGTTTTCAGTTCAAAATGTTAAAACAAAAATCAGATTACCAAGTTACTTAGTGAACATGTACATCCCAACCTTCATAGGATGTATTTCATTCTTTGCCTGTTTCCTTGAATCCTGTCTCAGTACACCAAACCATTTTTTTTAGTTCTTTGTATATATTCACTCATTGGCTTTACTTTAGTAGCCCCTACTTATATATAGATACCTAATCCTTCTTTCTCTTCTGAAATCCAGTACTATTAAAAATAGTGGTGGAAATATCACCTGTGATTCTAGGGACTCTTGTTTCCTACCTAGAATTACTTAGAAGACAATGATCATGAGGCTTGATAAATTTCTGCATTCAGTTTGTGACAAGCCAGGCATGCCCTACACAAAAGAAGCACAATCTTCTAACTTACCTGTCAAGCCTAAAGTAAAAAGTTATCTCTTGGAAAGAATGAAAGAGTTTACCTAAAACAGTTAAGAAAAACTCCTATAAATATGATCAAATGTCAATGTTTGATACAAAATAAGTAGTCAGTACTTTAAAATTGTACTCTGTACGGAACACACATATATAATTTTATTTGTTTCCAAAGAGAACAATTTTTTAAACTCCCTTGGCTTTTGTTTTTTGTTTTGTTTTGTTTTAGTTTTGAATTCCAAGTATACATTCTGGATTTTCTGGGACAGATCTAGTATCATATTTTCTCCCACTGTCCCCATAAATACTTTTGTTCTTCTCAGACTGTGTCCAAGTCATGACTGACTTACCACTATCAAAAGGCAAAACAAAGGATAGCCACAAACTCATCTATTTAGTGCCTATATAATGTTACACACACACAGATAATCAGTTAATGTGTGGTGGACTTCTGGAGATATTTAGAGATCATATATCCTAGTGTCTCTATCTCCCAAGATTCTTCTCAGACTGACATAATTATTCATGGAAGAAATTACTAAAACTACCATATCTAGGGGGTTAAAATAAATGTTAAATGCCTGACAGACACCTGCAGGTAGAGTTTTATAACACCCACCGGTGCTCTTGATGCTGCTCTAAGCCAATTAGAACTAAAAGAACAATCCTTAAAAGTCTACGCATCCTACACTATTCCATTAGAAGTCTCTGAATTGAGATGTGTTCAGATTCTCTGCTCTAAAACTTACTTTTTAAATTTAATATTAAGGTGAAACGTCTAGTCCACAGAATTAGATTTTTTTTTGCTTTTTTTAGTTTTTACTTATTATTCTCTTATGGTAAAATTACAAATGATTTGCTGAAAGACTTATTTGTTCTTGATTTTCCTCCCCAGAATTAGGAAATGAAGGCTAGTCCTGGATAATTTATACTTTTTCAATATATTATTTTTCCTAAAATTCTGCAGGTAGGTGTGGTTAATAGTTTCTATACACATTATTATTTGTTCATCAGTCCTTTCAAAAAATAAAATAAAAAAATCCTGCAAACCTGTATCACCTCTATCTTATAATGATGTTTATTTCTTCTCCAATTAGAAGAACAAAATCATATTGTTTTTAGTTGGAAAAGAAACTTAAGTGTGTGTCTTGGGTAAGTTGTTTTCATGTTAACTCTAATTCTCTCTCTATTAATTTACAGGTATCATGATAGAGGAAACCAGTTTTGGGAAAAGTTATGCACTACTGATTTTCGAGAGCTCTATGCTCTGGGCAGTGTCCATGATGACCTCTATGTTATAGGAGGACAGATGAAAATTAAAAACCAGTATCTTATTACAAACTGTGTTGATAAGTACTCTGTGGAACAGGACAATTGGAAAAGGGTGTCTCCCCTTCCACTACAATTGGCATGTCATGCTGTAGTGACAGTGAATAATAAACTTTATGTGATTGGAGGCTGGACCCCTCAGGTTAAGGATTTCCTATATACTTAAGTGGCATGGCTATGCTGAGTCTGGCTGCTATGTTGAAAAATGTTGTAGTTGTTGAATACTAAAAGAGTATGACTTACATTTTGGTAAAATATTTTTTATTTTATAAAATATTAAACTTAAGATTTAAAGTGTTAAAGCAGTTTAGGAGAACAAATTTTTAAAATGTGTTATTCATAGAATAACTTAGTATTCATGCTGTATTCTTCATAATCCTTCCTTTCTTAATAATTATGAAAGATGCTTGTGCTGAGGTATTATCTGTAGGGGACATCTAAGGAGGAGGCAGAGAAGCTGGGTCCTCATCCCAGAACTGTGTGCATAACAGTTGTGTGAGATGAGGCAAGTAGCCCTTATGTCTTTTCCACATTTAAAATTCTTACTCTAAGGTGGAAACCAGAATAATACTCATCCTGTGTTGGCAAAATTATTTCTCAAAAGCATATTGTGATTTTAAACACTATATGTTTTTGCTGGGCATCAGCACATAGAGACACCAGAATACTGTTTGTATTGAAGCCCCATGAAATGTTGGCCGGCCAAAATTGAAGTCAGTAGAGTGTGACCACAGTGGCCCTTCACCTTCTCTTCAGTGTTCCTCCCAGTGCCTTAGAGCTCTCACTGTAGGGTCATATCACTCCAGCTACCTTTTGCCCTGGTCATGTAGTCTCTCTAATAGAAATTAATCTTACTAGCTCCTTGTCCACTCACATGACATAAAGTAAATTTTTGCCTATATAATTTCTTGATTTTCCATATTTGCCTCATGATAAAACTGATGTCTTTGCATTTCATAAACTGGGACTATGCCATGTATCTAGCATACCATACTCATTTTAAAAACTTAAATTTCACATTTAACACATTTTAAATTTGTGTTATATATCAAAAAGAAGTAAAAATTTAATCCCAGCTAGTAGCTGATACTTGAAAAAATATTTGTAATTAAGCTTTTTCAGAACTATTGATTACATAGTTAATTTTGCATGAATAAACTCCAAAGGCAACTTAGAAGTTTTCTTTATTTTTCTTTCACTATATTGGAGATTAAATACTTACATTAGAAGGAAACACATTAGATGGAAAATTAAAACTATAAAGTTAATATTTATTAATTTATATTGTGATTGAACTTCTGGCATGTGAATATTTACTGCATAAGAAAAGCTCAAGTTAGTCTTTACCTAATGTTATACATTAAATTCCAAGGTAACACGGGGTTGTGATTGCAATCATAGTGATCATAACTCTTGATGCATTTAGAGTAATTAACTAAAACTAATTGTACACAACTTTTGTAACTATGGCAATTATTTCTGTGTTGAACACCTCATCCAAAACAAAAAAGACACTTAAGCATCCTTAGCTAGAAGTCATAAAAGTTCCTGACACATTGTATAAAAGAATTACTTCACCTGAAGTTTATGAGTAGGAGAAGCCACATATATCTGTGTAAGAATAAACAGCCATTCAATTTGTACTATCTCTAGTCATTTAAAAATATATGTAAATAAAATTAATACATAAATAACAAAATAATTTATATTAATTCATATATTTTGAAAATTGAATTCAGATCATTCCTATATAGGTTATAATTGTGGGATAAAAATAATTACTAGAAAACTATAATATCTTATACTTTTGTTCCATTTGTATTAGAAAATTATTATAAATAAAAATGCCTTTTAAATTGAGTTTCTCAAAAATACTAAAATCCACCACTATAACATTTGGCAAAATAAAATTATACTTTAAATACTGTTCTACCGCAGAAAGCATGGTTTCATTTTTAAGGCATTGCAGCTGCTTCGTTTTTTTTAAATGCTGTATTGTCTTACTGCTAAGACCACAGATTATTTGCTGTAACCCAACACCTCATTATTACAGAATATAAATTCCTCTGATATTGACAGTGGATTTATAATCCCAAAACATGGGATTTGTGTGTTTGGGAGTTTGAGTCACTACAGTTAACCTCTAACTGCTTAGCTACTGACTTTGATTAATTGCATTTATGTATCCACAGAGAACTTTAAATAGTGTATAATTATATTTGTTGTCATATTTCATGCAGGTGGATCTTCCTGATGAAGAACCTGATCGATTAAGCAACAAACTGTTGCAGTACGACCCTAGCCAAGATCAATGGACAGAACGGGCACCCATGAAGTACTCTAAGTACCGATTCAGTACAGCTGTAGTCAACAGTGAGATTTATGTTTTGGGTAAGGAGAAGCAGATTGCTAAAAGAGTATAACTACTTTTATTTTTCTCAGTAAAAACAAAATATTCTCCCTTCATCTTGTATTCCAGTTCAAATGTATACATAGCCAATTTTTTTCTAATATTTCTTGTTTTGTAGAGCACAGACAGGTAGTATTAAATGAAAATCAATTGACTTATTAAAAACAAAATTATTTTTATTTAATTTTCAATCCCTTGGAATATAAGAACAGTAATGATACATCTTAATACATACTACCAAGAAAAATATTTTCAAATGGGAATAAGACTTTGGCTACTTTTAATCAATGAAATGTGGGCTTGTGCAACAAAATGTGATTATCTGTGCTAATAGAAGAGAAAGCCAGCATAGGAAAGACAAGGCCACAGATCATGCCAATCCTCTTCATTTTGCCCCACCCACCTAATTTCTATAGAGATGTTAACAAATAAGTTTTATCTGAATGCATTTTTTCTTATTGCTCAAATGTGTGTGGTTTTATACTATCCAGTAGGGGTTGGTGAAAGATTGGTTCATTCCCACAAAAAAACCCTAAAACATCAATATACAGGGTCTGATACAAATAACACCCCCTTTTTATTACCAAATCTTTTATTACAAAATCATAAGCATGTAATTCTGTAACAACAATATCACACTCACACACACACCATATGACACTGCAGGTGAAATGTTCAAATTAAAACTATAAATTATTTTACCCATATTGTTACCCTACCAACCTCACTCAAGCAGGGGTTACTTCTGCCAGACCCCGTATTTCCCCTATTCTTTCTCTCTGTTTTTTCCTCTTTTATTATTAAGCCCTTTGCTCTTCTAAGCACATTCCATTTCCCTAACATCATCTTCTTCTTTTTAGTTTTTTTCATTGCTTTTATTTTTTTTAATTTATAAATTTTTTTCGAATACATTTGTCGCTGCCTTCCCCTCACCACTTTCCCTTGCCCCCTCCTTCTTTTCCTCCCTCAGCTCTTCCCCTTTGGTTTTGTCCATGAGTCCTTGCTATATGTTCCTTGACTTTCCCCTTCCCTTCCTTTTCCCCTGCCCCTCCCCCTTCCTTCCCTCTTGTCTCTGTTGGCTTCCTTTCCTTTCAGTGTTGCTGGTCTTATTTTCCTTGCATCTTTGTATCGTTGGTTAAGTTCCGCTTATAGGTAAGATCATATGGTATTTTAAATAAATATTTTATTGTTGTTCTATTACTGTTGTCCCAATTTTTTCCCCCTTCGCTCTTCTCCACCCATCCTACCACCCACTCCCAAAGACAATCCCTCGTCTATTGTCCATGTCCATGGGTCATTCATACATAACTACTCTCTTCCCCCTTCCGCCTGGTCACTGTCAGTCTGTTCCTTTATTTCCATGTCGCTGGTTCTATTTTGGTTGGTTGTTTGTTTTGTACCAACACAAACTATATAAGTGAGTTCCTATATAAGTGAGATCATATGGTATTTGTTTTTCACTGCCTGGCTTATTTCACTCAGCATAATACTCTCCAGTTCTAGCCATGCTGTAGGGGAAGGTGGGAGTTCCTTCTTTCTTTCTGCTGCATAGTATTCCATTGCATAAATGTACAACAGTTTTTTGATCTACTCATTTATTGATGGGCACTTAGGCTATTTCCAGCACTTGGCTATTGTAAATTGAGCGGCTATGAATATTGGGATACATAGGTTCTTTTGTTTTTCTTTTTTGTTTGTTTGTTTTTTTTAACATGTTTAAATTGTTTTTTTAATGTGACAGAAATTTCCAAGTCTTTTCTCTATTTCTTTTATGTTGACTAATGTTAGATGGCAAAATTAAATTTTTTTTATAGTAATTTTTTTTTCATTTTTGTCTTTTTTTTAAATTTTATTTTAATTTATTTTTTCAAATACATTTGTCTCTGCCAACCCCCCACCACTTTCCCTTGCCCCCTCCCTCCTTCCCTCCCTCAGCTCTTCCCCTTTGGTTTTGTCGATGAGTCCTTGCTATATGTTCCTTGGCTTTCCCCTTCCCTTCCTTGTCCCTGCCCCCCCTCCCTCCTTCCCTCTTGTCTCTGTTGATTTCTTTTCCTTTCAGTGTTGCTGGTCTTATTTTCCTTGGTTCTTTTGAATTGGTGTTTTAGGATTTTTTTTAAATTTTAGAATGATTTAGTTTATTTTCATATTAAGATTAAGTAATGTAAATATTTATGCCAACAGCTATATTTGAATTTATGATGATACTTAACAGATTTAATTTTTTTAATTTATTTTTTCAAATACATTTGTCTGCCTACCCCCCACCACTTTCCCTTGCCCCCTCCCTCTTTCCCTCCCTCAGCTCTTCCCCTTTGGTTTTGTCCATGAGTCCTTGCTATATGTTCCTTGACTTGCCCCTTCCCTTCCTTTTCCCCCACCCCCTCCCTCCTTCCCTCCTGTCTCTGTTGGTTTCTTTTCCTTTCAGTGTTGCTGGTCTTATTTTCCTTGCATCTTTGTTTTGTTGGTTAGGTTCCACTTATAGGTGAGATCATATGGTATTTGTCTTTTGCCCACTGGCTTATTTCGCTTAGCATAATGCTCTCCAGTTCCATCCATGCTGTCGCGAAGTTTAGTAGTTTTTTTTTTCTTTCTGCTGCGTAGTATTTCATTGTGTAAATGTACCATAACTTTTTGACCCAATCATCTACTGATGGGCATTTAGGTTGCTTCCAACACTTGGCTATTGTAAATTGTGCAGCTATGAACATTGGGGTGCATAGGTTCTTTTGTATTGGTGTTTTGGGATTCTTAGGGTATAGTCCCAGCAGGGGAATCACTGGATCAAAAGGCAGTTCCATTTTCAGCTTTTTGAGGAAATTCCACACTACTGTCCACAATGGCTGCACCAGTCTGCATTCCCACCAACAGTGGACTAGGGTTCCCTTTTCTTCACAGCCTCGCCAGCACCTGTTGTTTGTGGATCTGTTTCTGATGGCCATTCTGACCGGTGTGAGGTGGTACCTCATGGTGGTTTTGATCTGCATTTCTCTGATGGCTAGTGATGCTCAGCATCCTTTCAAATGTCTCTAGGCCCTCTGTATCTCCTCCTTGGAAAAGCGTCTGCCCAGGTCCTTTGCCCATTTTTTTATTGAATTGTTTGTCTTCTTGGAGTGGAGTCAAGTGAGTTCTTTATGTATCTTGGAGATCAAACTTCTATCTGATGTATCATTAGTGAATATATTTTCCCATACGGTTGATTCCCATTTCATGTTGCTGATGTTTTCTTTTGCCATGCAGAAGCTTCTTATTTTGATGAGGTCCCACTTGTTTATTCTTTCTTTTATGTCCCTTGCTTTAGGAGACATATCAGTGAAAAAATTGGTGTGTGGGATATCTGAGAGTTTCCTGCCAATGTTCTCCTCTAGGTCTTTAGGGTATAATCCCAGTAGTGGAATTACCCAAATGGCAGTTCCATGTTTTATTTTTGAGTAAATTCCATACTGTTATCCACGGTAGCTACACCAATCTACATTCCCACACACACACACACCCAAAACCCTAAAACATCAATATACAGGCTCTAACACAAATAACACCCCCTTTTTATTACAAAATCTTTTATTAAAAAATAATAAGCATGTAATTTTATAACAACAGTATTACACTCAAGCACACCATATGGTATTGTAGGCGAAATGTTCAAATTAAAACTATAAATTATTACACCCAAATTATTACCCTACAAACCACACTGAAGTAGGTGTTACTTCTGCCAAACCCTTTTGTGCACTAGGGTTCCCTTTTCTTCACATAATTGCCAGAACTTATTTGTTGATTTGTTAATGATGGCCATTTTGATAGGTGTGAGGTGGTATCACATTGTGGTTTTGATTTCTATCTCTATGATAACTAGTGATGTTGAGCATCCTTTCTTAAGTCTCTGGGCCCTCAGTAAGTCCTTCCTTGGAGAAGTGTCTGTTCAGGTCCTTTGCCCAATTTCTAATTGGATTGTTTGTCTTCTTGGTGTGGAGTCGTATGAGTTTTTTATTGATTTTGGAAATCAAACCCTTGTCCAAGGTATCATTAGCAAAAATGTTTTCCCATGTGTTTGGGTCCCTTTTCATTTTGATGTTCTCTTTAGCTGTGCAGTAGCTTTTGAATTTGGTATAGTCTCATTTGTTTATTCTTTCCTTTATATCCCTTGCCCTAGGAGATATGTCAGGGAAAATACTGCTGTGTGGGACATCTGAAATTTTACTGCATATGTTTTCTTCTAGGACTTTTAAGGTATTGTGGTTTATATTTAAGTCTTTATTTTATTTTTTAAAACTTTGTTATTGTTCGAATACATTTGTCTCCATTTTACTGCCACCGCTTTTCCCTTCCCCACCCACCCCCACCTCTGACCGTCACTCCTTCCCCACTTTGGCTTTGTCCATGGGTCCTTTATACATGTTCCTTGATTTGACCCTTCCCTTTCTTTTCCCCAGTACACCCCTCCCTCCTTCCCTGTTGTTATTGCCAGTTTCTTTTTTCTTTCAATGTTACTGGTTATATTTTACTTGCTTATTTGTTCTGTTGATTAGGTTCCACTTATAGGTGAGATCATATGGAATTTCTCTTTCACCACCTGGCTTATTTCACTTATAATGCTCTCCGGTACCATCCATGCTGTCGTGAAGGATAGCAGCTCTTTCTTTTTCTTCCCTCCTTTCTTTCTTTCCTTCCTTCCTTCCTTCTTTCTTTCTTTCCTTCTTTCTCTCTCCCTCTCTCTCTCTCTTTCTTCTTTCTTTCTTTCTTTCTTTCCTTGTTTCTCTCTCCCTCGCTCTCTCTCTTTCTTCTTTCTTTCTTTTCTTTCTTTCTTTCTTTTCTTTCCTTCCTTCCTTCCTTTCTTTCTTTCTTTCTTTTCTTTCCTTCCTTCCTTTCTTTCTTTCTTTCTTTCTTTCTTTCTTTCTTTCTTTCTTTCTTTTCTTTCTTTCTTTCTTTCTTTCTTTCTTTCTTTCTCTCTTTCTCTCTTTCTCTCTTTCTCTCTTTCTTTCTT